ATGCTAAGTATAAGGCCAAGAAATAAATAATTTGTATTTCAGGTTACAAATCTAAAAAAGGAATAGATCCACTTGTCCAAACTTTCTTATTTGAATTGCATTATCGTAACTGTTTAATATGGAATAAATTCCATTCTTTACAAATATATTTCACATGTTGATGACTATCTAGGGAACTTTATTATCCTGTAAACTGTTCTTGGGGTGGTAGGAGGGGTTGTCGTCCTGAATTCCAGAAAAAATGAATCTTCAATTCCAATAAATGAGTCCCGATAGGTGTAAATCCCAGATTCCAGCAAAAATAAAGGCCTAATCCCCAATTGCTGCAAAAATAAATGTTCAATACCAACGTCCCGAAAAAGGTCATTCCACCTCTGTGTATGTCTCTGATATATGTCTTCCTCTGAACTGTAATGATGTGAGCAGCATGGTGAAAATCCAGCTCAGCAATGAAGTGTATTTTATATGACAGAAATATGATATCATTCTGAATCCGCATGTAATATTTGCCGCAAGATGCTTTGCAGCCATCAGCCAATCTTTATAATTATGCTGTAAAATCATAAAAAAAATAAGGAGATGTGGTATGATTGCCAATGAGACATCTGTCCATAAATAACAACATGTTTTCGTGTTTTTAAATCCCAACTGGAAGCTGCTCTTGATTTGAACAGATCTTGTATTTTGATGGATCAGCATTAAAAATTTAATTCTGGAACGAATCAAGGGAGTCAGTTTACCAGAAACATTAAATGCTATATTTTTTTTAACTGAGGACGAAAGAGAATTGTAACTTACTCTAATGATAAAACAATTATTTAAGGTAGCTTGTCATGGCGGGGAAAATAACCATTCATTACCCTATTTTCTTTCTCATGCCAACTTCATTGGAACAATCCTTATAAACATGATAATATTCTGTGAAAACATATTGACTATCAATGTTATACTATTATTTTTTTTATACATGATTACATTAAAAAAAAAGGAAGATGGACTGTGATTTTTCAGAAAACAGTTATCACTATGTGTAAATGGATTTTATGGAGTTTTAAGTTTAAAATTACCTCCCAGTGTTGAAATCAGAAAAATAAACAATTCTCAAGGAAATTGAATTATATAGTGACTATTATATACTGAGCATTTACATTTAGAATGAAATTGAATTTTGTTGCATTTAATTTTTATCTAATTGAATTTGTACCTTCATATCAATAGAATTAAACAAATCCTAAGGGGCCAAATCTGATTAACCTTGGGATTACATTTGTATAATGATTTTGTCGTGGCAAAAAAGCATGACAAATTTAATACTATATAAGATATGTTTAAGCAAATATATGGCATATCCCTAATGCATGATCTTAGGTTATAATCTAGAATTTTCTTATGGTAGTTCAAAAAATAATTTTAATTCTACACATCAATGTGTTCTATGTAAACTTTATCATTTGATTTCTGTAATGAAATTTACTAATTGATACCCCTAGAATCTCATAAAAATGTCATAATTAAAGATAATTTTAGCCATGGTTTAATGTAGAACATGTTTATTTCGATGAATGTCGACATCATGTGCATTCACATCGAGAATTTTTCAAAAATCATGAGGCGACATTGGGGAATTTTACTGAAAATCGTGGGCGACATAAACTTCTCCTTGGAGCTTCTGTAGAGCGAAGTGGGGAATTCTAGGGCGATAATGTTGCTCTCTTCGCCTGGTGTGGATACCCCTGAACTTCATTGTAAAGTGACATTTCAGCCTTTTCTGTTTTCCATATTTTTTCACAATTCATATTCCTATCATACAAAACACATTTTGGCTAGGATATACAAGAGCAGACCTGCCAACTATCCCGATTGATGGGGGATATCCCCCATGAGAGGTGTTGACCTGAATTTTGAAATTCTTCATTTTATAAACTGAACACTTCAAAACAGGCATTCAAATGGGTTAAAAGAGTATTTAAGCATATGCATACTCATTCAAATAGTATAGTATTTGATTAAAACACTTATGACAATACAAGAAGAGCATTAGGTCATCTTGCACTTAAAATCACCCATGGAGATATTGAAAAATTGGCACATATGCAAGAGTGGAATCATTAACTACTCTGAATCGGTTTTAGAAAATCATCCCATATATGGACATTGTCCTTACGTCAACTCTAATTACATGTTAGTGATCACAGCTGATGATAATAGTACCACATGCTGATATGATTAGCAGATAAATTATTGTCCATTGGTCACCTGTCTTTGTGACCAGTATTATTCCCTATAGGCTAAATGTTAATGTGTCATTGTTCTCCTAATTTGGATAATTTGATCTTTGGCTGATGTGGTAATAATTCTATATATGGTTCTTTCAGCTGACCATTAAATTGTTTGCTTACACAAAGTTGTTATTTGCTCCAAGCAATGATTAAAAAACAAATTAAATTTTTTCTGAACTTATATGGGTGTAAGTAGTTGATTGACTAAGAGAATTTTTCTCGTTTCTCAATGGCATGTTGACTTCTAAATGTGTATTGATAGGGTGAGGGGGTGCTGGGTTGCTATCTCATTGACATTTACCCCACATCTAGTTTAATGCATATTAGATATCTTAATTTTCTGATAAATATTAGGACCAGGGGCTCTTTTTACAAAAAATCTTATCACAAATATTGATAAGTTTTACTAAAATGTTCATGACTTGAGAGTAATTTTTCTCTAAAGATTTTTTTGTGAAATTGATTGCAGGTATCTGCCACTTTTAACGTGATCAAAAACTTGGTTATCAGAATCATTTTTACAAGTGGATTTGTTTTTTTTTTTCTTGTTTTTTTTACATCATTACCTTATTCTCATGCCAAGATATCTGTGGGTAAAGTAAGGTCACATTCAGTACGTAAGAAAACCTATTTATTCCATAATTACATAACAGTACAAGTGATACTTTCCTGTTTTTGGATATCTAATTTCAGAAACTAGATAACATGTAACAATGTCTGACTGAAAAGTTATAAAAGAATCATGCATAAGAAAGACTGTAGTCTGCAGAATACATATGAAGATTTAATCTTACAGCATACATATTGTCATAAATAAAATATATTGATGATTTTTGAAAGATTTGATGACTCAAACTTTTTAGCAAGGGATGGATCAATTAGATACTCTCGGTATTATTGAATATTAGATTTATGACTGTTTGTAACATATCTTTTATTGTTCAAAATTGATCAAAACATTTTCTCCTCAGTTTCCAGGGTCACTATTGCTTCATTAAATGGAAAATTGTTTCTGATTAAATGAGAGAAAATTTGAGCAATAACAGTAAAGATTATTGGATGTCTGGACATAAACCAATACTTTCGGTGATGCAATAAATCGGTATGGGTCAGACAAACCTCAGAAGGAATTATAGGATATTTGTGGCGGTTGAAATAGATTTTCTTGTTCTCTTCATGTACATGTATTTTATGAGTTACAAATAAATGTTCATTACTTTTGAATGTCTCCATACTCGCCTACTCAGAATTATCCGAAGAATTGAAGGAGTGTTCATAATAAAAAGTTTCTACTTTTTCCATGACAAATTATTGTTTAGTTCAATGTTCTTGAGATCTTTTGTGGATCATTTGCAATTTTCTGTCTGTCCTATTACGAATAAAATGAGATATTCTGGTAGAAGTCAATGAGATGGCAACCAAAAAACACAAGTTAACCAATTGTCCAAAATAAAAACATCTAGCTATAAACAGATAAGCCAAATCATTCCTGGTAAATAAATAAACACAGCTGACAGATTTGACCAAGTTTTCACTGTATTTCTGTAGTGTTTGTTGGATTGCTGTTTCATTGACAGCATTGCCACATATTTGATGGGATTAAACACAACATTCTGCATATTCTTACATTTTCATGTTGGTCAGTTTAATAAGTAGAGGAACGAACAGTCACAAGCTAGAGTTTTATATTTAAAACCATCAATCTTTAGCCAGTAACTGATAAAAACCTGGAATATACTGATAAATATATATATAACGTGCACCTTGATATTTTTATGCCCTGTTTATGATAGTATGGGGACATTATATTTTCCCATCTGTGTTTATCGGGTTTAAGTTTTGGTTTAAGGTACTAATTTTTGGCATGTTTTTATCACGATTTACCTACTGAATCTTAATTCATGCTGTTTTAAATTTTGCCATTTCTGGGTGTTCTATATAAATTTTGATAAATGATTTGGAAATGTACAGTTGTACATGAATTGTAAAGGAAAAGAAAATCGATAAGCAGCAGAATTCACCTTTATAATCTCTGTTCTTCAAACCTCAGCCAGAAATTGAAGAACAATCTTTTGCTAATAATACCTGTTTATATAACTCAGTACTACGATGGTGAAAGCGTCTTTTATTGACCATTTGATGTATATTTTTAGTTTTAATGAGTTTTTTTTACCTCATTTGTAATACCTTCATTTCCAATTTTAATGAAAAAGTGATTTCTTCCTTGAATGATATTCTTTGATTACCAGATAATAAAACTGATTGACTGGTTTGTTTATTCCATATTTAGTCACCTCTGTCTAAGTGTACTTTAAAGATGATTATGTGTGCCTCTACCAGGGTAACTGAAAAATGGAATAAGAAACCTTTGGGACTGTGAGATTGTTTTAAAAATCAATTCTCAAACCATTATAAGTACCTGTATTGGGCTTTATGTCATCCTTAGATAAAAATGAAAAAAAAAGTGTATGAAAGTTATGCTCCCAAACCACTTCTCTGGATTTGCTTTCATCAGGAGTGCTCAAAGCCAAGTATTTCAGAGTCTAGGATGTTTAGTTCTGAAGGATGTGAAAAGCTATATGGCCAAAATGGACCTAAAAATAATAGCTAAATCCATCTAAGGGCAACTTTGTCTGTCAGAGGGAGTTGGAACCTTATTTAGTTTCTGAATAATTTATAAATTTATAAACACCATTTACAATGTTTGTTTTTTTATTTCAGCATGCAACTTTGTCTCGAAAATTTGTAGAAGTTATGAATGATTATAATTCCTGTCAAATAGACTATAGAGAAAGATGTAAAGGCAGAATAATACGACAGTTAGAAATAAGTAAGTTTATAAACAAGAGTATGTATATTTGTAATATGATGCAGAGGGACAGACTTTTTGTTCTGTGACCTTTTTGTCCAACATTTGGACAAAATACATGCACAATTTAATAAATAGTTGAACAGTGATGAAAACTAAGCCAGTTGATAAATTATGTCTGGATCATGATTGTGGGTCTTAAGACAAATCTATAACATAAAAAATGCCGCCTTGAAATGAGAGTAGCAATAAGAAAGCATGATATGACAGCGTCTATGACAACATCCCTTTTTAAAAGTCATCAGAAATTGAATTTTGTTCATTTTATTCCCAAAATAAACTCTTATTATCTATAATCTGGCCACTGAAGTGCAAAAGTGTCCATTACGAAAAAGATTATAATGACAAAATATATACAAGCAACAGCCTCACTTAAAAAAAATAGAAAGCATCTTTTTTTTTTTTGTAATTTACTCTCTCTGTGCTAGATGAAAAAAAAAACCGATTTTCTTAGTTTTTTAACATTCAAAAAGATATTTGATATATCAATATTTTGAAGGCTATATTACATACTAATGTCCTTTGATGATCTAAGAGAAGATAATTAATAGATTTGTGATACTTTTTGATTTTCAAAAATCCTAGAGGCCTTGAAAGTGGCCTTGAAATACCTTATAAAAAAATATTAGGCTTTCTTATGTTCAGTAAAAAATTAGATTTCTTTAGTTGGCAGTAATTGAGACAATAAGTTTTGACAATACATAAATGCGTTATTAACTTATAGAAAAAGATTATCTAGACCTAATCATATAATGCTGCCTCTGCCTTTAACCCTCAAGAGAATATTTCCAGTAGAGATAAGACTTGTGATTAATTATCTCCGATGATTTATTGCTTTCTTGACAGTCATGATTTATACTGTTTATTGATAAATTGTGGGCAAACTAATGAAATATTACTTCCCTTATGTTAATCTGGACTGGATTTGAATATTTTGATAGAACAACTTTTGTCAGGATATGATATATTGTCATTTTTTTCAAATTGATTTTCTTAACATTGTTAAAAACAAAACGTCCTGAAAAAAAATCAATGGACTTAATGAAATATGTTCATTCTTCCTTGTCATGATAACATTTTCTTTTTGAAATAAAGGGGGACTTACTGCTTCTTGTTCTTCTTCACATGAAGTCCTGCCCAGTCCTTATTCTTCAACTGTTTTGACAAGGCAAGATGGCATTAAGTGCTACCCTTGACTGTCTGTCCTTCAGTTCTTTTTCTTTTTGTCCTTTCATCTTTCTGTTAGTCCCATTTTGGTTTGAAAAGCAAGCTTGAGAGGGGGCATTTGTATCCTTAGACACATTCTTTGTTCATTACATCAAGATGGTTGGTCAAGTAACTATTAGTTGAAAAAAATAAAAAATGTAGTTAATTGAATGTGATCGTTGACTGGTCAAGGTCAGCTTTTTAGGTGACACATTATAATTAGTGTTAGGCCATAACTTTTCGTCATTTAACAATTTGAAAGGCTTTTTAATTTTTTTTGTGTGAGTACACCACCTAACCTAAATCCTTGGCAATAAGTATTTGTTGTTAAGCTCACAGCATTTAGGAATAAGACAAAGGACTGGTTGGCTCGAAGTCAGAATAACAAGTCTTGCTAGGGTTAAATTTTTTCCTGCTGACTTTTACTTTCTGAACCAGCATGTTCAAAATCTGGCTCAGTGTCTTTGTCTATTAAAAAGCAGGTTTATATTAATATCATAAACATCTCCACTTGCTTATATGCATGTAATATTTGCCACTGGACATTAAAACACGAATTCATCATCATCTTCAGTCAGAAGTCAACAGCAGATATGAGAATGTCAATTATAAAATATACGTAAAAACAAAATTAATAGAATACACTTTCTGGAATGTTTTGACATCCAAGACATTCCAAATTTTATAAGTTCAAGGCAATCTTTTCCCAAAAGAATTTAAAGCCAGAAAAATGTAAAAAGATTTTATTTTTATAGAGCATTTTTATTTTAATGACTCAAAGGTGAAAATATCTGAAAATCTAAACAATGTTTTCACAAAGACTTGACAATTGGTATTATCTGTTTCTCTGCTAAGCACATAGCATTTATTTAGGAGTAAGAGCTTTACTTGTTAGCATGGATTCAGAATAGTGTGTCTGTGTTAGGTCGACATGTCTCCCTGCTGACTTTTACCTTGTGAACTAGAACTTTCAAAATAAGGCATAATGTGTCAGTCTTGTACAAAGCAGGGTTCATATACATATTTCATTAACATGTTTTTTTTCCTGAATATGCATTTGCTTTGCCACTAGAAGTTAAACATTCAATATCATCAAGGAGTAAGACGGGTTTGATATACACATCAGTTACAGCCAGTATATTAACATTAAGATTTTTTTTTTTTTTTTTTTTTTTTTTTTTTTTTTTTTTGGTGTAGACCCCAATGACACACCACATATATATATCCACGTATAAACAAGTCTAAATTGAAAACAACATTCAAACCTATGATTGCGTTGGATAAAAATCGCAATTTTTATACGTGTGCATGCAAAACAAATTTCTTGTTAGAGGGGTCATACAGCACAAACAACATTTTCCAAAAGACTAAAAAAGTGAAAAAGTATATTTTAACAAAACGCATTTGACAAACAGGTCGAACAACAGAAAACAATAAACTTGCAGAAAAGATGGTATACCGCAAACAAAAGGTGCAAAGGTATATATATATAAACTTCATTAAGATTTCATTTTATAACTTTTTTCAGCTGGTCGAACGACTACAGATGAACAGTTAGAAGATATGCTGGAATCAGGAAATCCTAAAATATTTACGCAAGATGTAAGATTTTATCAGGATTCACACATTCAGACAAATTTTCAACCCAAGTTTAAATGACATGTTTTTGTTCATTGATGATAGTGTTGACTGTTCAATATTTGAATTAATAACAATATTCATTTTCATCAACATTCTATTTCATTTTGTTTTTTTGAAGAAGAAGAATATGGGACTGGTTCTGTATTTTAAATATACTATTTTCAAAGACTAGTTTAAATGTCTTTACAACAATTCTTATCAATGAAGATCACATTTTAGTTGATATTCCTTCTTCTTGGTTAATTTATTATATGGCCTGCGAAGAAAGTAGCTGAATGCGAGACAGTGTTGCTTTTTCAGCACGTTGTTGGCGGCGTCAAAAATTGTTCAGTTTTATAGGAACTACTTGTGATAGTCTAGATCAATGATATTTTATAAAAAGTTGCATTACTTTCAGTATATATCAGTTTGAATGACTATTACGAGGCTTTGTCCCCTAGGTCCATTTACTTTGAATTAATAAGCTTCCTAGGTCATGGTCCAGCGATTTAACTAGCAATGATGCTGTCCATCCAATTATCTTGCCTACAGCCGAGACATATGTCAGTAACAGTTAACAGTTTATTAGGAGTCTTTTTCACAACAAACTTGTCTTGTGATGTAAATTAATTGATAAAGGAGTTGAACCAATGAATTTTGTGTCTAGTTTTACTCATATTTGTGCTACATTACAATTTACAAATCAAATCCCAGGACACAGAATTAGAAAAAGGCACTGTTTCTCATTGCACAATGTATTAGTAAAATACGAAAAAAATATGAAATCTATAGAAGAGAAGAACAAATGAATTTAAACAATGTTTTTTTTTTTTTTTTTTTTACAAATTCTCACTTTACGCATACGTATCCACTTGTGAAATGAAATTTTACATTGATTTAAACAGGCATAATGGTCACTTCTAAGCATTGCTAGATTAGCTACAGTTAAAGATCAGTCTATTTTCTGTTGTCCCATTGGCAATCATACCACATCTCCTTATTTTTATTTTGGTAGCTTCGTACACAATATTTTAAAAATTACTAAAATCCTAAAGTATGTGAAATACATGTTAAAGTGAATGTTATATGTTTTTGGTGAGGTTCGTGTTGCTCAGTCTTTAGTTTTCTATGTCATGTTTTGTATACTGTTGTTTGTCTTTTGGTCCTTTTTTTCTTTTTATACGACCGCAAAAAAATTTTTGTGGTCGTATATTGGCATGACGTTGGCGTCGTCGTCCCAAGACACGCTAGTTTTCGCACTCTGACTTTAGTTTAAGTGAATGGATCTCAATGAAATTTTACCATAAGGTTCAATACCACAAAAGAAAGGTGGGGATTGATTTTGGGGGTTATGGTACCCACAGTTAAGGAATTAGGGGCCAAAAATAAGCATTTTTGTAACTTCCAGACATAACTTGTGTGTAAGTGTATGGATCTCTCTGACATTGTACCACAAGGTTCCATATCACAAAGGGAATGCTGGGATTGATTTTGGGGGTAATTGCCTCCAAATTTTAGGAATTAGGGGCCAAAAAGGGGCAAAAACAAGCATTTTTCTAGTTTCATGACAATAACTTGTGTGTAAGTGTATGGATCTCTCTGACATTGTATCACAAGGTTCCATATCACAAAGGGAATGCTGGGATTGATTTTGGGGGTAATTGCCTCCAAATTTTAGGAATTAGGGGCCAAAAAGGGGAAAAAAAAAAAAGCATTTTTCTAGTTTCATGACAATAACTTGTGTGTAAGTGTATGGATCTTTATGAAATTGTACTACAAGGTTCCATATCACAAAGGGAAAGCTGGAATTGAGTTTGGGGGTAATTGCCCAAAAAATTTAGGAAAAAGGGGCCAAAAATAAGCATTTTTGTAGTTTCCAGACAATAACTTGTGTTCAAATGTATGGATCTCTCTGAAATTGTACTACAAGGTACCATACCACAAAGGGAAGGCTGGGATTGATTTTGGGGGTAATTGCCTCAAAATTTTAGTAATTAGGGGCCATAAAAGGGCAAAAAAACAAGCATTTTTCTAGTTTCAGGACAATAACTTGTGTGTCAGTGTATGGATCTTTATGAAATTGTACTGCAAGGTTCAATATCACAAAGGGAAAGCTGGGTTTGAGTTTGGGGGTAATTGCCCTAAACGTTTAGGAATTTGGGGCCAAAAAGGGGCCAAAAACCAAGCATTTTTATAGTTTCCAGACAATAACTTGTGTTCAAGTGTATGGATCTCTCTGAAATTGTACTGCAAGGTACCATACCACAAAGGGAAGCTGGGATTGAGTTTGGGGGTGATGAATCATAAGGGGGTTCAAAAAATTGGGGGGGGGGGATTTTTTTTTCCTTTTTTTTCTTTAAAATCTTCCATTTTAAATTGGTTATTTCTAATTTATATATAAAAGCAAATAATAATGATATGGTTTGAATAGGTAAATTAAAAATTTTTAAGTTCTTAGACCACTTTGATTCTGTGTGAGAAACCTATGCTGTGTCAAATATTTAATTACAATCCAAATTCTGTGCTGTATCAAGCTGGAATGTTGTGTCCATACTTGCCCCAACTGTTCAGGGTTCGACCTCTGCGGTCGTATCAAGCTGCGCCCCAGCGGATCATTTTATTTAGCCATGGCATGGTCAGTTTATTTTCGACTTATGAGTTTGAATGTCCCTTTGGTGTCTTTCGCCTCTCTTTTATATACATGTATGTTAGTCATACTTTAAGTCAACTATAACTTTTGTATTTTGTAGATCATAATGGAAACACAGCAAGCCAAACAAACACTTGCTGATATTGAAGCTAGACACAACGATATTATAAAATTAGAAAATAGTATACGTGAATTACATGACATGTTTATGGATATGGCTATGTTAGTAGAACAACAGGTAAGTTTGAACTCTGTTTAAATTTTTTCAATAACAGAGTAAGCAATTTGAACTCATTTTACAAAAATTATAACCAGAAAAAATACTTGTAAATTATTAACATTTCAGTGTAACTTGCAATAAATTTTAGTGGAAGATTTTTTTGTCCTAAACCATAACTGACAATTTTGATGTTTATAAAGATCAGGGTGTAAGATTTAAAGTAACGTCATTGCCAGTAAATTTAAGTTCCTATAAGCAACCTTAAAGGAAATTGTATGTAAGATATGAATTACAGTATAGAGTCAGGGTACAAACAAACTTTTTCAGATAACGTTTGATTTCCAACATCTAGGGTACTTGTACTGTTAATTCAGAGACTTTGGTGTGCATTTATTATTGCGATTGCTAAACGATTGACAAAGATGCTTGATAACTATTGAAATTTCAGGAAATGCTGCATATAGATAATGCTATCAAAATTTAAAATGCGGGTTTATATTTTTGCAAAACTTCTCCCGTTGCAATATTCGCAATACTGTAAATTCAGAAATTATTGCAAGGTTTTTATTAATGCGAATAATGCGACTGGGTGGGTATGGAAATATTAAGAACTCACATTTTGATATCTGACACATATACCCATATGCAGATTTTCCTGAAATAGTAATAATTTATCTCACATTTTTTTCCATTCAAAAATCACATTAATAAATGAACACATTAATTTCTGAACTTACAGTAGTAAAAAACTTGCAAAAATAATAGTAGTTATGTCCATCAGAGGCTAACAAGCATGTAGGATTGAAAGCATGTAACATTGGTGCTGTTTGCCAATCTATATAAACAAAATCTACAGGATTATGTTAATTCGAACAACTAGAATACTGTTCGGTTCAGGTTTATTCAGCCAATGACATACTGCTGTATTAATTTTTATGTTCCAGTTGATACCAAGCAATGAAATAAGTTTCTATCTTGTTTTATCATTATAGGGTGAAATGATAGATCGTATAGAATATAATGTTGAACAAGCAGTTGATTATATAGAAACAGCCAAAATGGACACTAAAAAAGCTGTAAAATACCAAAGTAAAGCTCGACGGGTAAGTTAACTATAAAATGCACACACTTTCAAGTGTCAAATATAAAATTCTTAAGTAAAAGGAGATGGTAATTTTGCAAATACAACAAGCAAAAACACTTAAAAATGATCAAGATTATTACAACTATAAAAAGTTTTAAGATATGCAGGTAAGTTAATACAATCCGACAAGATGAGAAACCATCAGAATTGGGAAAAAAAACAAAAATTAGAAATATAACAAGTCAAGAATACTTAAAAGTACTGAAAAGTATAAAAGGAATCTAAACCCTCAGCTAGTACATACTTAGCAACAATTACCAGAAACCCGTCCAATGCCATGTTTATATATATCCATGCAAACGTTGTCTGCTGTCACACACATTTTTCACAAATCTGCACACAAGCTTTATCTGTTCATATCCTTGTATTATATTCATGATGTTCAAGAAAATTTTCAATTAGTTGTATTTATTGTTGTTGTCAAGGCTTACATATTTATTATTTTATTTCCAGTTCATTCTGGACAATTCTACATTGTCTTTTCTTGGATATAGATGAATATTATTTAAACTCCTTTTTCCAATAAACAGATTGGTTTGATGGCTATTTATTTTAATGATTGATTCTAATTTTGTGTGGTCAAGTTTTAAAATTTTCTAAAAAGACCCAAACCAAAAGCATATATATGATATGCTTAATTCACATAGACAAAGAGCTATTCTGGGTTATCCTTCATCAAACGATTTTCCCGTAATTGTTATGAATTTTGGACCAAAATTACGGTGTAACGATTAAGAGTCTATTTGTTACAGATTTACTTTCATTACCTGCCCAGAACAGTTCTCCAGTTATATATCATTTTTATAAAATTTTACGAAGTAAATATTATTACTGAAAAAAGACAGAATAACAGAAATTTTAATACCTTTTTACTGATTGCACCAAAAGGGGGTTGGCATTTATGCTTCATCATGATCAATAACAGAATTTCAAAAATTTTATAAAATGCAAAACAGGCTTATCAAATAATGTGAATGCATAAATACCGGAATAAGGGAGCATTACTGTTTTGAACATTCTGATCGGTCCAGATGTCATTCAGGGTGACGCCAAATCTGTCCCAACATAATTAATGATGTCAAATGTTGAATTTTTAATTGGTCCATTGTAAAAGTTGAGATTATGGGTTTCAATAAAAGAGTTTTGGTTTATTGCCAAAATTATCCGGTCACAATTTTACGTCATAATAAAAACATTAAAAAAAATTCTGTAGTTACAGAAATCAAAACAAGGATAAAATTGGCAGTATATAAATCTGCCATTAATGTATCCCTAGAAATATTTATCCACATGGGCAAATTATGTATTTTGGGAACTTCAAACTTCAAACTGTGTAAATGTCATTATAAAGTAGCCATCACACCACTTCTGAAATTGTATTCCTCTGCACACTTGTATACATGTTGTTTAAATGTTGTCTTTTCTTTCATTTCAGAAAATGATAATGATTATAATATGTGTAATAGTATTATTGGCTGTTATAGCACTTATAATTGGTATAAGTGTTGGAACATAGTAAACTATTGTTATTATGATGTTAAGTCTCGTTTTTGCTCAAACTTAGGAACAGCTGTTTTCCTGCATCCTGACAGGTTCACCAAATATTGTTTACCATGTCACTAAATATATATACAGTCATACTCGTATGAAAAGAACATCAGCTGATCAGATGTATATTTAAATTTAGTTCATTCTAATTACTCGATTCAGAGAATACCAGGTTCTGTTTTATTAAGCTCTTTCAGAATCTAATGCATTCTGGGTAATATTTTCACAGGCATACACCAAAATGCTGTGATTTACTTAAAATGTCCAAACAATTGAAATTCAATCAATGATAAGACGTTGTTCTCATTTTTTTTTAGTACGAGCAATGAAATTACACATAGTTCTTCAGATTCTGAAATTGTAAATTGTTAACAATGGCATTTTAATTTTTGAACTTTAAAATGGAAATTTTAGCAATAATTACTGGTGTTTAGGATGGAGTGGTGTGACTGTATAATATTCTGCCATATAAAAATATACACATCACTGGACACATATACTTGTGCTAATTACAAACGTGAAAATACTTTTTTGTTCCTTTGTTCTGAATTAAGAAAAGGGCTTTTTTAGTATTATTAACAAAAGTCATTATTCTTTGAATTGTTATAAAGTAAAAAAAAATATCAACCAAAAGAATGGGAAAACAATGTCATTTCAGTATAATTTTAAAAAAATGGGTGGGGGGGGGGGGGTAATTATCAAGTGGTCAATTCTTCTTATAGTGCTTGATTTTTATGTACTTGTGTTGTGTATATTTCTAACTACACAAGCTTTCAAAGCCTTCATTTTGTACTGTGATCCACTTTATTATAAAGCTATTTTATTTTGGAAACCCAACATGTAACTGCAAAAAGAAATCAACATTTTGTTTTGAAGATGTTTGTAAAGATGCAGTTGAAATAGAAGAGCTATCTTAAACACAGTATTCAAATTTTATTTTATTTTGATATTATTTCTATGTGTAAATGTTGTTTACATATTGTTTTTTTCTCTTTCATTTCAGAAACTGATTATGATAATAGTTTGTGTTATTGTTTTATTAGCTATTATAGGACTTATACTTGGTATATCTTTATCTTAAGTTTTTTGGGAATAACACATGTGCCTTATTATAAATGATGAGAAATTAAGGTATAACACATGTGCCTAATTATAAATGACGAGAAATGCTCAGTGCTTATTGATCAATCTGCCTTCCTTGCTTTTAATTTGAATTGAGTCTAGTTTGTACAAAGATGAAATTTTTCTCTGTCCAACAGCGCTTTACTTTTTCATGATCAGTTGATTTTATGGTATTGGTTTTGCACAGTTACTGTCACCTTTTTTCCATCTTCCATTTTTTTTGACTTATTTTGAAACTCCAATTCTGATTACTGTGGATTATTCGTTGGATACCAATTTTCGTTGATTTTGACGTTAAAGGTGAAATATAAATTTAGATTTTCAATGAAGTACAAATTTTCTATAGGCTTGTAGGCAGACTTTGGCAAAACCATGAAACCAAATATCCACTAAAATACAATTTGTCCTCAATCCACGAAATTGGTATCCACGAAAATAAATTAATTCACATTAGATAATTCAAATCTTTTTACTGGGTGTCATATTCGCTTGCATTTCAATAATCAAAGATGAAAGTAAAGGGTAAAATTCTGTATATTGATCAATAAAAATGATCTTTTGTAATACATGGGTAAGTGGGGGGGGGAGTCTTTTGGCGTTTGTTGACAGATATGTTTCAACTTACCACTATTTGATATAGCAAGGACAAACTGTATACTTAACGACAAGATTATTCAAGAACTTTAAAGGAATCTTTTTTTCACTGGAGGGAGGCAGTGATTTAGTGCAAAGATCTGTCATATTTTCTTGACGGCAAAACTTATATGTATATTTTTTTAGTGCTATCAGTGCTTTCTGGAGAGAAAACTTATTTCTTTAAAATGCTATACATTTACTGAAAATGTTGCATTAAAAATCATTGATTGTTAATTCATCAGGACTATTTTAGGATTACAATGGTATCAGCAAAAACCTTTTTAAAAAACCTACCACAACTTTCTCACGTCGAGTTTGTACAGAAATATAATCTGAAAAAACCTTCCCTAATGGTTTCATACTGTATTTAATGTGCTTATTCTAACTGTCGTCTGCTGATGAGACATTTTTTCCAGAGACATATAAGTTGTATATAGCTAGTATATAAAAGTTGAAGTGTAGCATTTTATTGAGATGTCAGACCCAGGACCTCTGAAATCCAGATTATGTGCAATAATTTTATTTATGTAAATATGTTTTCTTTTCTTAGATACAAGCAAATTTCTTTCATGTTCAGTCAAAAGGAATGTTTTAGTGTAGGGATCTTTTGAAGTTAGAAGTATGTTTGATTCATAAGAGCTAGATGTATTGGGTTAAATTTGTTTTCAAGTTATAACCAAATTTCATCCCCTATCAATGTTGACCAAATATCATTTAGGTAACGAACTAGCATAACTAGTTGAATGCATGAACTTTAAGAGGTTAACAAGTAACTTTCATTCTAACTTAAAATTCAAGATGGCTGCTATATATTTACATATTCTCTTAGGATCCAATGTATTCTATGATCTTTATGATTTCATGAGTAGATCAATCAGCATTGCAAAGATGTATTACAAATTTTGAAGCTTTTCTTTGATGAACAAGAATGTTTAAAACACATAAAAAATATTTCATTCAAAAAGAATCTTTGAATTTTTACAAATTTAAGGTAGCTCGGGTGTCTAAATGTTCGACGATAGATTTTTCTTAAACTGCTGTAAAAGACTTCTGGGTTAATATACTTTTAAACTTCAGACCTTGTTTTTTGTATAAAATACATTGATATTAATGAAATCACAGTTATTTATATGGATTATATAGGGGAAACTTAATTTTTCCCATTTTTATACGACCGCAAAAATTAAAAATTTTTTGGTCGTATATTGGTATGACGTTGGCGTCGTCGTCGTCGTCGTCGTCGTCGTCGTCGTCGTCCGGCGTCGTCCTGCGTCGTCCGAAGACACATTGGTTTTCGCACTCTAACTTTAGTTTAAGTGAATGGATCTCCATGAAATTTCACCATAAGGTTCAATACCACAAAAGGAAGGTTGGGATTGATTTTGGGGGTTATGGTACCAACAGTTAAGGAATTAGGGGCCAAAAAGGGGCCAAAAATAAGCATTTTTGTAACTTTCAGACAATAACTTGTGTGTAAGTGTATGGATCTCTCTGACATTGTACCACAAGGTTCCATATCACAAAGGGAAGGCTGTAATTGATTTTGGGGGTAATTGCCTCAAAATTTTAGGAATTAGGGGCCAAAAAAGGGGCAAAAAACAAGCATTTTTCTAGTTTCATGACAATAACTTGTGTGTAAGTGTTTGGATATTTCTGAAATTGTACTACAAGGTTCCATATCACAAAGGGAAAGCTGGAATTGAGTTTGGGGGTAATTGCCCGAAACGTTTAGGAATTGGGGGCCAAAAAGGGGCCAAAAATAAGCATTTTTCTAGTTTCCAGACAATAACTTGTGTTCAAGTGTATGGATCTCTCTGAAATTGTACTACAAGGTACCATACCACAAAGGGAAGGCTGGGATTGAGTTTGGGGGTGATGAATCATAAGGGGGTTCAAAAAATTTGGGGGGGGGGGGTTTTCTTTTTTTCCTTTTTTTTTTCTTTTAAAATTTTCCATTTTAAGTTGGTTATTTCTGATTTATATTTAAAAGCAAATAATAATGATATGGTAGGAGATACACACCAAACAGGATGTGTAAATTATTATATAATAAGTATTGTGCAATAGCAAGAAATTTTCAATTGCACAGTATTGCACAATAGCAAGAAATCTTCAATTGCACAGTATTGCGCAATAGCAAGAAATCTTCAATTTAACAGTATTGCGCAATAGCAAGAAATATCCAATAGCACAATATTGCGCAATAGCAAGAAATTGTCAATTGTACAGTATTGCGCAATAGCAAGAAATATTCAATTGCACAGTATTGTGCAAAAGAAGATACTTCGTATAAATTGCTTATTTCTTGATCAATTTCAATGGGGTTTTATTCTTGAATTCTTGGGGTTCTTTAATATGCTGAATCTAACCGTGTATTAAGTTTTTGGATTTTGGGCCCCGTTTTTAAATTGGTCCACATTGAGGTCCAAAGGGTCCAAAATTAAACTTTGTTTGATTTCATCAAAAATTGAATTATTGGGGTTCTTTGATATGCCGAATCTAACCGTGTATTTAGATTTTTAATTTTGGGTCCCGTTTTTTAAATTTGTCTACATTAAGGTCCAAAGGGTCCAAAATTAAACTTAGTTTGATTTTAACAAAAATTGAATTCTTAGGGTTCTTTGATATGCTGAATCTAAACATGTGTTTAGATTTTTGATTATGGGCCCAGTTTTCAAGTTGGTCCAAGTTGGGGTCCAAAATTAAACTTTGTTTGATTTCAACAAAAATTGAATATATGGGGTTCTTTGATATGCTGAATCTAAACATGTATTTAGATTTTAGATTTTTGGCCCAGTTTTCAAGTTGGTCCAAATTTGGGTCCAAAATTAAACTTTGTTTGATTTCAACAAAAATTGAATATATGGGGTTCTTTGATATGCTGAATCTTACCATGTATTTAGATTTTTTATTTGTGGGCCCGCTATCAAATTGGTTCATATTGAGGTCAAAAGGGTCCAAAATTAAACTTTGTTTGATTTCATCAAAAATTGAATTATTGGGGTTCTTTGATATGCCAAATCTAACCGTGTATTTAGATTTTTAATTTTGGGTCCTGTTTTTTAAATTGGTCTACATTAAGGTCCAAAGAGTCCAAAATTAAACTTAGTTTGATTTTAACAAAAATTGAATTTTTGGGGTTCTTTGATATGCTGAATCTAAACATGTGTTTAGATTTTTGATTATGGGACCAGTTTTCAAGTTGGTCCAAGTTGGGGTCCAAAATTAAACTTTGTTTGATTTCAACAAAAATTGAATATATGGGGTTCTTTGATATGCTGAATCTAAACATGTATTTAGATTTTAGATTTTTGGCCCAGTTTTCAAGATGGTCCAAATTGGGGTCCAAAATTAAACTTTGTTTGATTTCAACAAAAATTGAATATATGGGGTTCTTTGATATGCTAAATCTTACCATGTATTTAGATTTTTTATTTGTGGGCCCGCTATCAAATTGGTTCATATTGAGGTCAAAAGGGTCCAAAATTAAACTTTGTTTGATTTCATCAAAAAATGAATTATTGGGGTTCTTTGATATGCCAAATCTAACTGTGTTTTTTAGATTTTTAATTTAGGGTCCCGTTTTTTAAATTTGTCTACATTAAGGTCCAAAGGGTCCAAAATTAAACTTAGTTTGATTTTAACAAAAATTGAATTCTTCGGGTACTTTGATATGCTGAATCTAAACATGTGTGTAGATTTTTGATTATGGGACCAGTTTTCAAGTTTGTCCAAGTTGGGGTCCAAAATTAAACTTTGTTTGATTTCAACAAAAATTAAATATATGGGGTTCTTTGATATGCTGAATCTAACCATGTATTTTGATTTTGGACATTGGACCATAATAGGTAAATTAAAAAAATTGAAGTTCTTAGACCACATTCTTTCTGTGTCAGAAACCTATGCTGTGTCAAATATTTAATCACAATCCAAATTCAGAGCTGTATCAAGCTTGAATGTTGTGTCCATACTTGCCCCAACTGTTCAGGGTTCGACCTCTGCGGTCGTATCAAGCTGCGCCCAGCGAAGCATTTTATTAAATTATAGAATTGGTTCAAATTCAACGAGAGAATTGCTTTTTATGAATACTTCTGAAATATCAAATAAAAATAGGGGGTCACAAGCCTTATTTTCTTGAGATTTAAAAAAAAAATTTAAAAACAGAAATTGTCAAATTCTGTATAATTATCGGCCCTTGATTTTAAAAGGATTTTTTCTGAAATATTGAATACACTTATCGACACTTAATATTTTGCTAGTTTAATCTTAAAAATTCAAGTATTAGATGTTTCTGTTGTATAATGAATGATGCTTGGTAAAACATTTTTAAATCAAAAAAGTATTTTGCAACATGCCCAGAATGGATGCTCAGAAAAAGACACCAGATCTACCTTAATCATGTGAAATCAATGTTTGTCAACATGTAATAAGTCGGAATGCTCAGTAAAAATTTATAGTAAAACATCTGATAAAGAATTTTTTAAACTTCTGATTTTATAATCATGAGATGTAATTCCAATATAGGGGCCACTGCCAGCCATTTATTAACAGTTAAGTGCATTTTTTTACTTATTGATATCAATAAAGAGTTCAAGCAGTGGACATGATTTTTTCAGAAAATTAGATATTTCAGTAGACAAAACAGCTGCATTCTTGGAAGAAATTTGGTTGTATTTAATTTATTTTTGGTTGTTTTTGTACTTTTTGACTAATCAGATTTTCATTTTCATTTAAGTTGTGTTGTTTTATAAGAATGGAATGAATTATAAAGTTAATAGACAAAAAATAAATATTCAGTTAATTATCATTTAAATTCTTGAAAATTGTTTGTGCTTATTTGTTTAATTTTGATTTTCAACATTTGGGTTTATATCTAGCATTTTGCGAATTTTAGTTACAATGTATATACTTTTATGATAGTTTCATTTTACTAAGATTCCTTTATATTTCCAAATTCCAAGGCAATTTTTTTAAATACACTAATACCTTGTTAGATTTTCAGTACTTTTACCCTTCAAAATTTCTTATAAATCTGGTTTTATTCCCTGAAATGAAAACTTTGAAAAGATGTTTAACCATTTCTGTTTGTAAACAGGATGGGTCTTGTGTATGTTACTGCAAATATAAGGTGACTTTTGGTATTTATTTGAATTTAAATGATTAACAAATAAAGTAAGAGTTTTGTTTTATTTTGATAGGATTGTGGAACTTGTACGAATTGCGTTGTTTGCTATTGGCATGGGCATTCACATTTAACAAAAGAATAGTTTTTCTCTTGAAAACTGTGAGAGACACTTAAAAAAAAAGAAAAAAAAATATGAATTAAAAATATTTTTTTATAAAATCTACCCTTCTTTAGCGGAATTGTTAAAAAAAGAGAAAAAAAAATCAGGGTTATTATTAACAAGGTTTTATTGTACTTTTACCGTAATAAGGTTGTATGACATCATGCTTTTTGTAGTACTATTATATGTTGCAGCTCATTTTCATTGTAGCGCTTATATTTTGGATTTAGTGCAATATAAGTGTATATATAACTTGTGTTGTTATTCTTATTTTGTTGCCTGTTGGCATTATTCACTTAGATATAGCTGAATTATTGTGATTCGAATTATATCAATGGTGGAAAAACAATTTACTAGAATTTCCTTTAATATACATGTTTTGCTTCGAAATTCGTTTCTGATTATGTGTTAAATTTAATTGAAGGGCATTAGTAAAAAATATTGATCCAGTTAATTTCTGTTTTGATTAGCAAAAATAAGGTCTATTTCAGAAAGAAATATAAGAAAATGTTATTTTTGCTAAAGTTTTGATCTGATAGACTAATGGCATGATTTCAAATCAGTTTAAAGAAATTATAAATTCATGTTGATTTAGTTGCTTATTTTTTAAAGTGCAATTATCAAAATAAATAGAAACTGCATTTTAATTGATTTATATGTATATGTTGTGATTTTGTTCATTTTCAATACATGTGTATGTATATTTTGTTTATTGTTGTTATTTGAAGTCCTATTCATCACACAATACCATTAATTGGGTTCTTTTGTCAGGGCAATTAAATTAAAATGGATGGGGGAGGGTAGGTACCCATAGGAATTCCCCAAACAACCAATACATTTTCTTTGAAAAAAATTATCGAATGGACAAGCAACCATAAATGACCCCTGTCAAAAAAAAAACTTCCCTCCCTCAATTCCATGCTCACTTGAATCATTGGATTAACTCTTATACAAAAATTTGTCAGCTATGTGTAGTTTTATGATCAACTATTTTTCTTTATTTTTGACAATCATTCTGTGATTCAACAGGGCTTCTTCATTCAAATCAAATCATGAATTCAATTATTATTGTTGAAAATTAAAAACAAATCAAGAAGATGACGGAAAAATATTTTGTGCATTTAATGGATTAGATACTGTGTTCAAGTTTTCATAGAGAAAAAGAGAAATTTTTCAAATTTAAATATTGAAACTTGACTTGTTTTGCTAAATTTTAAAGGGGGTGTGTCCCTTTGGATCCACCTTTGGTATTTAAATACAGAAAATAAAGTAAAAGATTTGCTTGCTTTGAATACATTGTCAATGGGTCCAATATCAACATTAATCAAACTTTAACCTAGGGACCATATTTTTTTTTATAAACCATGACATGCATAACATGAGCTTTTTAACATGCTCCATTGCTCCCATTAGTTCAGCAGAAATTTGGTATTTGGGAAAGAATAAGATTACTCAGTTTTTTTAAATATTTTTTTTTTTTACACCTTGCATGAATTCTTATCTCAAGTGAAATCTGCATCTCCTTGAGTTCAGTAAAATATAAAAGGGCTGTAATAAACATATTTTAACCAGAAAGTTATATTAATAGGAAGAAAATACTTACTTGAATAACTGATTGAAGATATGATACGGACTTACAATCAAAACCATAAAAGTGTACATATTTCAGGCAATTGGCAAGTTCAAGATGAAATTAATCAAGGGTTTCCTAAACAATTGTTAGTTATTGAAACATGTTATATTTGGATGGATTTTACCATGCATTCAGTTCAGCAATTTGTCTTTCAATACACATAATTTCCAAGCAGCTCTTGATAAAGTTATAATTTAAGATAGTATGAAAAAGTGGTTTACACTTGTATGGTTTTGGCAATAAAAGTTTGTTGATTCTTCAGTTAAAGAATTGAGTAAGCTATTATGGTCAGTACAAATGTTTAAATTGCAGCATTATTTTTTCTTATAAAAGTTCTATGTTTATCGTGATATATAATAATCGTTATCTTGTTTAATCAATTAAAAGTTGACAGGTGCATATTTTTAGATTAAAACCAAAAATTTCAAATATACTTCAAAATTATAAGGTAAAGTTTGACCATTAGGCCAAGTAAATTTTATTTTTAGATTGTATTTCACCTCTGAAACAGTAGGTGAAATATAATCTATTTACTTACTGTAATACCTTGCAATGACTCTTATAAAAATGTAATGGAATGTGGTAAATACCTTCTCTACGAAAAAACCTAAGTATCCATCAGCCTAAGAGACACACTGGTAGAACATATTTAAGTAAAATTTACTTTGCATTCAATTTCAAATATTTTTGTAACTTATTGGTCTTCCCTATGCCACTTTCACCATATTTGGCTCTTTACAGAATTCCATGTGTGGCCATGTGGCATCAAAGCTACACATTTTGACTAAGTGGCCAGATGTTATGCACTGTTAACCATCTTAACTGTTATTCATTGTTACCTCACATATATATAAGTTGTTATTTTTCTGAACGGAGCTTGAATTTTAGTTTTACAATTTTTTATCTTGTATTTATGTTTATAGTTCTAGTCTATTTATAGCAATAGACACATAAATGTATCTTCCCACATTAATTGAGTTTTGCCCTGTATGAACTGTAATGTATATTGTTATATATATCTGTCAGTTTGTACATTGTGGTCAAAATAATATGTCAGTTTAGTCCATCACAACTTAAAAGCAATCTTTTTTAATTAAGATATTGAAATATGAGTAAAAAGCATTTGAACAATTTGATTTAGTTACAATTGAAAAGATTCTTTTAAAGCAAATATTAAATTTTCCTCAATTTCCCTGTTATGTCCTGTTTTATTCTCCCACCCGTACATTATTAAAGTTTGTGAGTTTGTTTAAGAATTCATGTCAGTTTTACTTCTTTGTGCCATTTTTTTCTTGATTTTTCATGAAAATTTCTACTATAAGGTTGCAGTACATATTATTTTGGCGTGTCTGTCTTTATTCTCTCAAGCTTTACTGTTGTCTAGTAATGTGTATTTATTTGTGATTATTTTATATTAGTGTAATATTCATTTTTTATATGTATAGTTTTGTCAGTTCAGGCTCTGTTCATGAATATTTATAAAGTCTAACACTCATGAATATTTATTATTATGTAGAATAAAGAATTCTTCATCTTATGTTTTGTTTTCCTTTTTCTCGATGTTGTTGTTTTTGCACATTCTTTTTCTTCGTTTCCCTTGGTGTAGTTTCAGATTAAAAAACTATAGACAGGAGATTTATTGCTACAATTGAAAAAAAGTTCATTATTAAAATTTGTACTGGCTTCATTTCATAGTACTATTCAAAATCAGACAACAAAAGTTAGAAAAAATAGAACATTGCCTAGTTTGTGACAGAAAATTGTAAACTGGGAAGAATTGTTATGTTCAAACTTATTGTTCACTTACCTTCATTGTCTAATGAAGGATTTAAGGATGTACTAAGGTGAAATTAAAAAAATCTAGAATTCAAAACTGATATTATTAGTCAGAAGAGCATTAGTTAAGGAACAAAATAAGCTAAAAATATTGATAGGTTATGGAGCTCCTTTTCGAGATATTTAATTTTTATAAAATGGCAGGAAAAAGCTGACTCGGACTTTTACCTTATATTTGTGTTGGTATTATTTGGGTCTCAAATGGAAAGAAAAGAAATCTAGATTCTGCTTAAATTTTAGTAAATGACCTTCTATGAGCTATTGAAGTCTTATATGAAAAGAAAAATGGGTGTTATGGGGCAAAATATTTTACCCTGTATCATAGGGAAAAAACCAATGAGTCCGAACACATTTGACAAAAATTCCTAAACCTCACCTAAGTACGTCCTTAAAAACACCTTAAAAACACGAAAAAATACACTAATCAATAATCAATCATAGTGCAGAACAAAACACATTCTGTAGTCATGCATGATTTCCAGAAAATAAATATTCAGTTGGGGCTCCAGCTTAATTATCATTGATTTCTACTTGATAAAAAAAAATTACAAAGAGCTAGATCTGCAGATGTAATTGTCAAAGTGTATCCTGTTGTGATGGAGGATATACTGCTTGACTTATTCATAGATATATCCATCATGATCAGTATAGCATGAAATATTGGCCACTGGACGTTAAGCAGGCAATAAACCATAGCATAAAATGCTAACATATCAATATTTCTTGTTTTAAGATGCCACCTTAGTATGTACTTTATGAATTCTATGAGGCTTCTTGGAAAATTTGTAATATCCAGAAGACAATTTCAATTAGTAATCTGAAAGTGATTGCATGCCATTTTATGTATGTGTCTTCTATGTATACAGGCAATAATTCTATTGAAGCAGTTTTATTGTTCATGGATATCCTAGAAAAAATACAGAGTTCAAGATTTGGTTGGAGTATGTGCATTTTAAATTGACTGCTTTAATACATAGTCGTAAACTGGATATATGGCATAACATGTGTACAAAAGCAGGAGAATTCTAATTTCTTGAAACTTTTATGGTGTATTTGATTTGGTTGAAGAAATCTCCCTTTTTAATTTGAGAATTTGTGTATGTTGTTCCAGAGTTAACTTTAACCCTCAAGATTTAAGGCAATTTTTCACATATAATGTTCACTTTCTTGTGTATTCTTGGGTCGAATTACTCAAGTTTTACATTGTTGTTGGCATTAATAAAAGTAAGCTCCTATTTTAATTTTCTAAATTTTTCAATTTGTTGTTTAAGAGTAAAGAGAATTTTAACAATTAAATTTAAGTCATTTTTTGACATGGGTAACACTAACTCCAGTTTGGATGAAACAATTTACTTGAAACTTTACACTTTTATTGGGGTAAGTGAAAGTAAGTAACCCTCTTATTTCATAAAAAAATTCTAATTTGTCATTACAGAGTTTTGGGACTTTAACTGTCAGATTAAGGCAATTTTACACATGCCAAACCTGCATACTATCTTTGAGTATGCCTAGATCAATTTACTCAAAACTTTGAAGTGTGTGTTTTGATATGTGAAAGTACGCTCCCGAAGTTTTGAATTTTAAAATTAGTACATGTATTCTGCATTGGTAAAAACTGGATAAAATTCTTGCCCAAGACAGGATAGAAATTAATATTCTGCCTCTCAAAATGCAAGAAATATTGATGTACAAAATTTAAAATAAATGTTCTGCTCAGTGCAGCACCAAATAAATAAGCTGATGCAGCAACATCTGAAATGAAAATTCTGTCCACAAGAATTCCCCAGGTCCTCTAGAAAATCAAATAATAATCCCCTTAAAATAAACTTTGGTATAAATTTCATTGACATAAAGAACACAAGAAACAGAAATACTCTAAATAAGATTCTAGAATAAATTTACATTTAAATTATTAGATATAAGGTGAGCGTGATCAATTTGGAAAGTTGACATATTTCAAAAATACAGAAGAACTTTCTGTTTTATCATATTTGTGATGAATTGCCAAGGTTTAAATCTTTGCTTAGATTGTACAGAAAAAATATCATAATCAAAGAACAGTAAATGGTTGATGAATGATGTCACAGACTTTTATAAGTTTGTGTATGCAACTTTGACATGTTGATACATGTAGTTAAATTAAAATTTAAAAAAACAAACAAAATATTTAACAGTATAATTTGCAGCAGCCATCTTCCCCTTAGATTATAATTTCTTTCTAGTAAAAACAAATAAATAGATTCTTCTTGAAAACTAATTGATTGAATGATAGCTGTGTAATGTCCAGCAGCAAATATTACATTCATTTTTGGGACGAGAACATGCTGAGCGACTGACTGGGTTGGCTTTTTAACCAGCTATCTGTGGCTAACAAAGTTTCACAATGCAGGAAGACCTACCTAAATGCATTGTTCTGACACCTAAATGACAAGTCTTTTGCTATATTCCTATAGGCTGGGTGCAGCAAATTTAAATCATAAACTAGTCCTGATAAAATTTGTCTGAGTGGACACAAATTGCTAGTATAAATGGTTACTTTATAGTTTGTAGTATTTTATGTCCGAAGTCCTAGATAAAATATATATATACCATGGCTTTCGAGGGAATACACCAATATTTCATAGCCCAAGATCCCACACACGTAGTTCAGTTTTACATTACGACATCAGCTATGGACTGCTCAGTGCCATTACTCTGTTAAATTATTATATGGATGCATTTAAGGGAGTACAAAAATTATTTACCGCCTACATTTCACACATTCTGTGATAAATGATGGATTTATCTTGTTTGTTTCACGTTCAGTGGCAAATATTTCATGCATATTCGGCACGAGAAAAAGTGAAACAAATCACTAAGGTTGGTTCTAAAAAAGGTGTCGAACGAGATGAAGAAGTGGAAGTGGAAAAAGCCAATATTGGGAAAAGAAAGACATTTTGCTTTACAATATGTCACCTACTAACGCCTTTAAGAGTTATTGCAATGATTCTTTCATCTTCACTGGCCAAGGGTCAAGAGGATGACGGCTGATCGTAACCCTTGGCTAGCGAAGATGGGATTCTTTTAACAGGCAAAAGTACAGCTTTTTCCAAACACAAGGCATATTTGCGTCCTCATACAGACAGGAGTGGCTGCGTAAATCCAGACGCGCGCTTTTCGTCTACCTTATAAAATACAACACTAAAAACTAGAAGGGACATGATACAATGATGAATCCAGGTGTCCCGGAACTATAAGCAATTCCTGCTCAACTAGTGCCAGTTTTAATGATTATGTCAAGGGAATTTGTCTCATCGTAGATCACCCATGCTTATTGAAGTTTCAATATTAACCGCTCCCGAATTTATCACCAAGCATGCAATCTGTATTTACCAAGCATTAGCATAAAGTTTGACATCATAAATAAAAGGCAACAGTAGAAGTTAAACTTCTTAAGTGTCTTAATTTCCTCATAGTCCTGCTGGGTAAGTCTGCAGAAGGGGTAAAGTCAGAATGATGTTATCATCCACGCGTAATGTATCAATAATCCTGTGCAAACACTATACAGTTGGGCGGAGGGAATGTAACTATTGAGAAATGGGAAGTTGACAATAGGAAACCTGAAATCGTCACGTTTGTCATGTAGACTTAGTTAAAGATACTTTGTTGACATGAATTAGCATTGGTATGGTCATAATTATAAATTAGCTGTTTACAAAACTTTGAATTTTTGAAATACTAAGGCTTTTCTACCTCAGGAATAGATTACCTTAGCTGTATTTGGCAAAACTTTCAGGAATTTTTGGTCCTCAATAATGCTCTTCAATCTCGTACTTTATTTGGCAGTTTTAACTTTTTTGATTCGAGCGTCAGTGATGATTCTTTTGTAGACGAAACGTGCGTCTGGCACAAATACAAACTTTCAATCCTGGTATCTATGATGAATTTATAGTAATCTTAATCCCAAACACAAATTCTAGTTTGGTGGTATTTTAATTGTTTACTTCACTGAGATGTATGACATGCATGGACTCTCTGAATGTGGGTAGAATGACAGGACATAAGTCAATCTGAAGTTGAAAATAAAGAAATGGACACGAGGCTTTTTACAGTCTCTGTATAAATTCTGCTTCATTAAATACAAAAGCAAGTCTGACTGTAGGGCTATACAATAACTACTAATTCGAAAACCGTCTGTTAGTTAAAATATCAATCCACCGGGGCATTCTTCACAAATATGTTACGTCCGGCATTTTGATTATATCGCCCTCGGTGTATTTTTTTTTAAATCTTTTTTTAATCAATGTGATTCGCAAAGTAAGATTTCCCGTGACCTAAAACAACAAATTTGTATCTACGATTCCCATTTTTGTAGATTAGTAGAAAATGCACCGTTTTATGAGAAGATGTATTTGTTATGATAATGGTAATATACTGAGAATGGAAAAATCAAAAGCCTTGATAAATTGTAGGGTTTAGAGTATCTAATTGATCATATAAAGCCAAATACTGTCGTAAGCATGTATCTGAAACCATGTTTTTATACGACCGCAAATTGGGAGTAATTGCCAAATCCGTTCAGTAATTAGGGGCCAAAAAGGGTCTAAAACCAGCATTTTTCTAGTTTTCAGACAATAACTTTTGTCTAAGTGTATGGATGTCTCTTACTTTGTACCACATTTTACAAAAAGAAAATTTCTTCAAAATTATTTTTTTTTGAAG